GTGATGGCAGTGACAGGTTAATGGTTGGACATGATGATCTTAGAGGCCTCCTCCAATCTTGCTGGTTCTATGAACACAGGAAGAATCTAAAGCTGTTAGTGTCCAAAGGAGACTGTGAGGTTGGAGAAGGGTCTGGAGGGGACGCTGAGGGTGACACTTGGCTTGTTCGGCCTGGAGAAGAGGACATCAAGGTCTGCAGCTCCTCACAAGGGGCAGCACCATCTCTGCTCTCTGTGACAGTGACAGGGCCTGAGGGAACAGGTGGGGCAGTGTCAGGAGAAGGTTAGGCTGGATGTCAGGAAAAGGTTATTCCCCAAGAGGTTGTTTGGGCACTGGAAGAGCTCCCCAGGGCAGTGGTCACAGCTCCAAGGCTGACAGAGCTCAAGGAGTGTTTGGCCAATGCTCTCCGGTATCATCCCACCAAATCCTGCCCTGATCCAGCCTGGGAGGTCCCAGGAGCACTGACTCCCACGCTGCTGTGCCACACTGGCCTCATCTGTGGGCTGGGGAGGGGGACACCCTCCCTGCCCCAGCTCCCTTTCCCAATCCTATGGCTCTGATCCAGTGTTCCTGTTCCAGGCTGCTGCTGCTGCTGCAGAGCTTCACAGGCTATGCGGAGATGGTGCTGAGCGCGTGTGCTGTGCCACCAGCGCGGGGCACAGGACCCTGCATGTCCGCAGGGCTCACAGCCAGGAGGTTCTGGAGCAGCATGATGAAACTGGGGACCTTCTGCCAGCAGCTCCGGGACCAGGTGGGACTTCTGGGGAAGCTGAGTGCAGGGGTCACCCCCTCTGGTTTGTGTGGAGGCCTCAGAACAACCTTCAGGAGCTGAAGGAGCTCCAGGGAAGCTGTAGAGGGACTCTGTGTTAGGAACTGCTGTGACAGGACAAGGAGGAATGAGGAGAAATTGAAAGGGAAATTTAGATTAGGTATGAGGAAGAAGTTTTGCCTGTGAGGGTGGTGAGACACTGGCACAGGTTGCCAAGGGAGGCTGTAGCTGCCCCAGCCCTGGCAGTGTTCAAAGTCAGGTTGGCTAAAGCCTTGAGCAACCTGCTCTGGTGGGAGGTGTGCCCAGGGCAGGGGGTTGGGACTAGATCCATAAGGTCCATTCCAACCCCTTAACATTCTGTGATTCCATTTGGACCATGGTCCTTCCCTGGGACACCCTGTGGCCATGCCAGATGTGCTCCCACCCTTTGAGTGCCAACCCCTGTGTCCCACAGGACACATCTGTCCCACACTGTCAGCTCCTGGCCTGAGTCCCTTCCCTCTTCTAACCACCACTGCCAGCCATGCTGCTAGATCCATCCTCCTCCGGGATCTCAGCTGCCTCTAGATGTTGGAAAATATTCTCCTCCTGACAACATGCTGCAGTTCTGCCAACCCCACAGTGGGGCTGAGCTGCCTCAAATCAGTGAAATAATTGGTGGTGAAAACAACCAGCCCCTTCCCTGCATTTTATTTTCCCCAAAAACGTCTTTCTCATGGACTAGTCTCACAGTAATCCATGTGGCACAGCCAGGAGTCAGCACAGAGGGTGGGAAAGAAGGGATGATCACAAGAAGGGAAGCTGGGGAGCAGGTTCTGCCGCTGAGGCTTCCCCTTGTGAAACCACAGGTCATTGTCCCTTGGCTGCACTGCTGCCCTGTCCCCACACCTCCCATGTCTGATTTGGGCTCTTATGGATCATTTACAGTTTGATCTGGACCTTGATTTTATTCTGTGCTCTTTC